CACAGGGTAAATACACACACACACAGACACACACACACACACACACACACACACACACACACACACACTCACTCACTCACTCACTCACTCTAATGAAGTTATGTACTAAAACATCCAGATTTACACACTAGTAGTTGACTGATTCATCAATACTTGGTCATTTTGAGAATATCAGATGATTAACAGCCATGATTTTTTTATATATATTCATAAATGTTACATAAAACCGTTGGAAATGTTGTATTGGTAATTAAAGTTCAAGATAAATTTGAAGTATTAAATTACTAAAAAGTAAAAAAAAATTAATGCTTACATTTTTTTTTTCAATTGAAATAAAGCTGTCAATAATATATAAGTATTAGATATTTGTATTTAATTTAATATTTAATTAGATTATATCAGCTGTCTTTCTGTCCATCTCATTTGTGGTCATTAACATGATCTGTTTTGCATAATTCAGTTTTTTTTTCCGGATATCAGCTGATCAAAAACCCTGAACGATTGTATAAAATATCTAGTATATTAAATCTAAATAAGTAATGCTATCGATTTGCATTGTTTTTCTAAACAGCTAATTATAAAAATTATGGACTGACTCCCACACTCTAACCTCACTAGAAAACCTTTGCAATTTTATATTGAAGAATATATGATTTGATTCTTTTATTTGTTGTTTCGAGGATGTCCACAAATGGGGGTTTTGTCACATTTAGCACATTCCCGAGGACACATTATTTCTCAAAATATAGTAATGAAATATGCATGTGTCTGTGTGTGTGATACTGACGCGTGTCTCTCTTGTTGCCAGTGCTGGAGGGGCGACAAAGTGAGTGACAGATGTGTGTAGCAGTAGACGTCTGTCTGTCTGTCTGTAGGGTGAAGGACGTGTAGCTGTAGTCGTTTTAGAGCTTCTAGTCCGTCTGTGGCTTCTTCCAGAGCTTCATTTGTGAGCTTTGACAAATGCTTTGTAAAGTCCGTACAGCTTTACAAAGGGACAAAGCAGCCCTCCACCCCGGGACGCGCGGGTCTGTCAGTGCTGGAGCACGCCGTGATGATTCTGACAGTGTTTCTGTGTTCACAGCGACGTCACCAACAGCTTCAACATCAAAGACGTCGGCCTGCGGATCTTCGAGGACTTCGCCAAGTCATGGCAGTGGATCGTAGCGTGAGTCCAGCTCTTTTGTAGTACATTTTATAACATTTATTTAAAATATTACATTTATATTAAATTTGATAATAATTTAAATGTTGAAATAAGTAACTGTTTTCTTAAATTTATATTTCTATAGATTTTTTTTCATAGATTTTTAAGATACATTTTATAAAATAACATTTTATAAATTATTATGAAGTAGCTTTATTATTATTACATTTATTCTTAAATATTATACTTTATATAATATATTGTATGTATATATATATATATATATATATATAATGTGTATATATATTTTTTTTATTTTAATTATTATCAATTATAATTAATTATCAGTTATTTAATAACGTACAATTTGTTAGATAGATAGATAGATAGATATGTATATAACAAATTGTACGGTATGTTATTAAATAATATTTAATAATCAATTATAATATTTAATAATACATGTAATAATAATAAAAAATAATAAGAAAACCGGGAGGCTTGTGACTGTCCCATTGACTGCCAAGTAAATAACACTGTCAAGGTCCAGAAAAGCGATGAGAATACTTTTTGTACGCGAAGAAAACAAAAATAACTAAAAAAAAGTATTTTATATACAAAAAGTATTCTCGTCGCTTCATAACATTACGGTTGAACCACTGATGGCAGATGGACTATTTTGACGATG